TCCATGATTCTCTCTCATCATGGATGTTTCTATCTCTCTCCCTCTCCCTTCCTTTCTGAAATCAATAAAAAATATTTTTAAATAATCAAATAAATAAAAATGATTAGAAAAATATCCTCGGGTCCCCAGTAGGGGGCGTGCAGGAGGCAGCCGATCCCTGATTCTCTCTCACCACTGATGTTTCTATCTCTCTCTCCCTCTTCCTTCTTGTCTCTGAAATCAATAAAAAATATTTAAACCCCAGCCGGTGTGGCTCAGTGGTTAGAGTGTCAGCCTGTGGACGGAAGTGTCCTGGGTTCGATTCCAGGTCAAGGGCACATGCCCGGGTTGTGGGCTCCATCCCCAGTAGGGGGCGTGCGGGAGGCAGCCGATCCATGATTCTCATCTTTGATGTTTCTCTCTCTCCTTCTGCCTTCCCATCCAAAATCAATAAAAATATTTTTAAAAAAATAAATAAAAATATTTTTAAAATAACCATTAAGCCCTAACCGGTTTGGCTCAGCGGATAGAGCGTCGGCCTGCCAACCGAAGGGTCCTGGGTTCGATTCCCGGCCAAGGGCATGTACCTTGGTTGTGGGCACATCCCCAGTGGGGGGGGCGTGCAGGAGGCAGCTGGTCGATGTTTCTCTCTCATCATTGATGTTTCTAACTCTCTATCCCTCTCCCTTCCTCCCTGTAAAAAATCAATAAAATATATTTAAAAAAATAACCATTAAAAAAAATCACTGGGAAAATATCCTCTGGTGAGGATTAACTATTACACATACTAGGGGCCCGGTGCACGAAGTTCGTGCCCGGGTAGGGTCCCTCGGCCTGGCCGGCGATCAGGGTCTATCTGAGGGGCGACTGGCGGAGCGATCGGGGTCCCCTGCTCTCTCACCAGCCACTGCTTAGGGCCTGCCGGCTGGGGGCAGCTCCTGGGTTGAGTGTCTGCCCCCTGGTGGCCAGTGCACGTCACAGCGACTGGCCATTCCGCCCTCATTCCGCCTTTCGGTCGATTTGCATATTAGGGTTTTATTATATGGGATGTGTATTATTTCCAAATACATCCTATGGCTAAATGGTTCTCTTTTTTAAAAAAAAAACAACAACAAAACCCACAGATTTAAAGGGATGCCCGTCAGTGAATGCTCCAACTACCTCCTTCAGGACGGACGTCGGTCTGGCTGCCTCCTAGTGGCCGAAGGCGATACGATTCTCAACTTTTCCATCTGGAATGGGACCCAGCACCTCAAGAACAGGAGCCTATGGATCGCCGATTACTGTAAGTGCCACCCAGAGGGAAAGCATTGCCTGTTCTCCTCCCCGATCGAGGGCCCCCCGTGCTCACCCCAACAAGGAAGACGCCAGCCTTCCGGAACATTCCACGGCCAAGAAACTCATGCAACTCGGAGGCAGACGGCAGAGGGCGCTGTGGAGGGTGCTATGGGAGAGGATCGGCTGCCTCCTGCACGCCCCCTACTGGGGATGGAGGCCAGCGGTCATGGCTCAGGGGTTGAACGTTGACCTATGCACCAGGAGGTCAGGGTTCGATTCCCGGTCCTCAATTTTTCCATCTGGAATGGGACCCAGCACCTCAAGAACAGGAGCGTATGGATCGCCGATTACTGTAAGTGCCTCCTCCCTGATCGAGGGCCCCCTGTGCTCACCCCAACAACGAAGACGCCAGCCTTCCGGAACGTTCCACGGCCAGAAAAACGCATGCAACTCGGAGGGAGTCGGCCGAGGGCGCTGTGCAGGGTGCTATGGGAGAGGATCGGCTGCCTCCTGCACGCCCCCTACTGGAGAGG